TTTGACTCGATTGAGCATGTTTATGACAGATTGAGCCCGCTAGTCAGGCTGAGGTGGCACCGGCTAAATAATTGCGACGTTGGCAAACGTTATCATCCCGTGTGGCCCTGTGGGGTCCACCTGTCATCGAAAGAAAAAGGGAAAAAAAGCTGCTGGTCCGTGCTCGTCAACCTCCCGCCGCTGGACAGAGGAGCGCTGTGGCCGCCGGTGCTGGAGTCGACTGGGGCCCGAGGGAGCTCGCCGGTGACGGCTCTGGAACAGGCGCTCCGCGCCGCGTCCGGGTGGTGGCTGCGGGGTCGCATGGGACAACCTGCAGTGTTGCCGCCATGGGCCAAGCCGCGACGGCTGAAGAGCTGCGATGGCGGCGCCCGCAGGGCTTCCCCGGAGGAACTCGGGGGCGGCAGCAGTTCAAGGGCATCCAGAGGAGTCGGTTACGCCAAAGGAAAGGGAGGGGAGGGCTGCTGGCAAGGAATTTGGCCAACGGGACGGGCGGCGGCACCTCGGCCATTGGAGGGGGGAGGAGCTCTGAGGCTTGGGGAAGGAGTTGAGGACTGCGAGGGGGCAACGGGATCCCTGCGCCCTCGCGAGCCACGCGAGGTCTGCGTCGAGGCAGAGCCTGCCATCGTCGTTGCCGCATCGAGGCAGATGCCGCCGTTCATCTGCCCTCGGCCGAGGCAGAGGCCTCCCCGCCACCAGTGCTCCCCCACGGATTCCATCCTTGAGCACGGCCGCCACATCCCGGCGCCACGGCCGTCCTTGACCTTCCTCGCCTGGCTGAGACTCGCGACGCCGGCCTTTGTCCGCCGGCGTGTGCACTGCATTCAAACTGTTCAATGGAATGCCAAAGAGAGGCTTGATAGGCTGACAAGCGGGCCCCGCATTCAGCAAACGTTTTCATGTAACGGTGTGAGAAACTGGTGCCACGTCAGCCTGACTGGCGGGCCCCATTTGTCATAAACTCAATTAACTGAGCCCGATCCGTCGATTAGTGTTTTTTGCAAAAAGATTACCGTAGACGTGGTGTTTTTTGCAAAAAAAAATGTATTGTAGTGTTTTTCGCAAACCTAGCCTTCAAAGTGGTGGTTTTGTGCAATTTACTCCAAACCTCGTAAACTTTGATCAAATTTATAGAGAAAAATACCAACATTTAGAATGTGAAAATCAACAACATTAGATGCGTCATGACTTTAGTTTTCATATTGTATAAATTTAATATTGTAGATATTAATATTTTTTCATATAAATATGGCCAAACTTTATGAAGCTTGACTTCAGACAACTCTTATACGCGGAGTAAAAAGGACCGAAGGGAGTACGTACGCAAGATGGACGCATTGTTTTGTTTTGTTTTTTCACGTGAAAAGATGAAGGTATTATGCATGCCCAGTGTCCTCGATCGAGAGAAGCATCATGTGCAGTAACAGATCTTGTTCGATCAACGAGCGCCCGCCACTTCACCCACCGGCATTGGATCCAAGGAATCGTCTCAAACGATCTGCAGAATCCCGACATAGTTCCAGCCCCTGTAGGCACACAGAGCTCGGAGAAGATTCAGGCCTTCACAGCTTTGGTGAAGTGAAACCCGGCCGGCCGGGGGGACGGTCCAGTCAAGCACAAAGCAAAGCACGCACAAATCAGCCTAAGCACACCAACACGAAAATATGCGGATTCCGATCTCCGAGCAACTGGCGCACAGGCACAGCGACCTCCCCCTCCTCTTCTCCGGGTCCAATGCACGGATTGCCAGACATCTTTCTTGTCTTGCGCTTATCTATCGAAAGTGCCGCTTGCCGCCGGGGAAAAGGGGTGAGGGAGAAGGCTCACCCGGCCGCGAGGATCGATTTGATGCCCTGTCTCGTGCCCCTCGTACGTGTAGGTAGGGATCTTTTGATCTTTCCTTGCCCCGGGGCACGAGGGATCCGGGAAAGGAAGGAGGAGAGTTCAGGGACAAGTTCATGCGATCATTATTGGCTTGCCGGAGGAAATGCTTGAATCTTTGTAGGTCTGCTCTGCTTCTAGGGGGCTAGATCCCAAACCATCGTTTCTCAGAGCCCGCCAAGAAGGGGGGCGGTGTGACAGTTTAGGACGGAATGGCGCGTCATTTTAATTTATTTTTGGCGGGGAAAATGGCGTCCATGATAAGATGTGGTTTAATTCGAAGCTAAAATAAGGGTGTGTTTAGAAAATATCCTTCACTCAGTATGATTTACTGCATGCTGTAATTTTTGCTTCTCACAAACATTTCATGTATAATCGTAACCATCGACAGGGAATCCTGATCTTCCACTGTATTCCGTTGCAACAGTGGTGGAGCTAGCCAAGGAACAATCTCTAGGGAGCAAAACCGCAAAACACACGGCATGATTGACTGAGGCAGCAACAGACTATGGTTTTTCTTTTGTGAACCTCTCGGAAAAATCCCTTCAGTAATTTTCCCAAAGCTAGGGTTCTGACGTGCCGTAGCTCCGCAACTACAGAACAACTTAGAGGGAAGCCATAACTAGATTGGTCGTAAAAATGATGGTAGTCGAACCCTTTAATTTTTGCCTAAAGTTCGAAAGGTGAAATGACCATCCAAGCAGGGTAGCTAAAGTTATTGAAACTTGGAAGGCCTATTCTAGTCTACATTAAAAGAACTCCCAAGAGGGAGATCACTTGCTAGAGGATTGCAGCTCCTAGATATTTAGGTGCTCAAAATAGACTGAAATATCAGTTTTGACCAGGTCAAATCATCTGAGATCGACAATACCTGGTTCAGTTTTAAGTCTACTTGGACCAAGGATTTTCTTTTAATAGTTTGGGTGCGAAATTCCAGACGGTAACTGGACAAATTTAGATGCACAATATAAACTGAACCAGAAAAGGAAGAAGTGACAATACACTAAATTCAAAAGAATTTTGCAGATTGCATGCCAAATTCATGTGCTCAAGATAAATTTAACCAGAAAAGGAAGAAATAAAACACACTAAATTCAAAAGAATTTTGGAGAATGCATGCCAAATTCAGGTGCTCAAGATAGACTGAACCAGAAAAATAACAAGTAAAAACACACTAAATTCAAATGAATTTTGGAGAATGCGCGCATGCCAAATTCAGGTGCTCAAAATAAACTGAACCATAAAAAGAAGAAGTAAAAGACGCACTAAATTCAAAAGAATTTTGCTAGCAAAATTCAGGTGCTCAAGATATTAGAATTTTGCAGAATGCACACCAAATCTACCAAATTCAGGTGTTTGGTAGAGATCACACCGACTTCAAGCGAAACTTGAAGAAACACACCGAATCCAAGCTCGGTTGGGATTTTCGGCCGGTTTGTGAGTTAACCAGGGGCCACTGAGAGACCCAGTTAACTTTCCGAGATACATTGCATGACTTGGACGGACTGGGATCAGGTGACATGCCTCTTGGCAGTCACAGCGTAACATGCGCCCTCCCATCCATCGTTGGTTCCCCATCCAACGCCACTGATTGATCCAAGTGCAAAACGATTCAGACTTGAGCTTTTTTCAGACAGTCGACAATAGCAAGCGTCTCACAACAGCGATCATTTTGCTAGTCCAGAAACTACAACTTTATATGTTGTACTAATTTGTATACATTAAAATCAAGACCTGGCAACGATCAAGCATGCATCAACCAATTTATCAACACATCCAGCCACCATCCTCACATTAGAAAACTGAAAAAAAAAATCCATACTTACACATCTTTAGACAGCCGACAGTGTAAACAACATCAGTCAGTTTCTATCAAGCATACATCAACCAATTCATGAACCCATCCAGCCATCATCCACACATTAGAAAACTGAAAAAAAAAATCCAAACTTACTATTCTTTAGACAGCCAACAGTATCTGCTCTGCAGCGATGTAGCCGGTTCCCTCAGCGGCGGTGCGGCGCCGATTCCATCTGCTCTGCAGCGGGCGCGAGAAAGAACTGAGGAGCCCGCCTATTCCTCTTTTTCACCCGCATCGTCTCGTCTCCATGCCAAAACTGCTAGCTGTTGCCTTCTTTTACTTTGTTCGCTGATAACCGTTGGATGAAAAAATAGCGGTGGATGGGAGGGCGCATGTTACGCGGTGACTGCCAAGAGGCATGTCACCTGATCCCAGTCCGACTTGGACATGGTTTCTTCCCTTTCCGTGTCCCTTCGTTTAAAGTGTCATACAACTGGCACTTCAATTAATTATTGTTTGTTGATTGATTAAAATTTCCATATATAGGAAGGCCATGTGTAGCTGACATATGAACTGAATCTTCTACACAGTGGCCTAAGGAAAAACAGGGCAATCATTCAGGGTGCAGAAATCTTACCTTCTTATTTTTTTTGCGGGAGGCAGAAATCTTGCCTTCTCTCTTGATGATCAGTGTTTTTTTTTCACATAACAACATGCATGGAAAATTAGTGTGCAACCTGCATGCATGCATGCATGCTCTGATGTCTGAATCAGCGAAAGCAGTGCACCACCTAGGCCGAGTAGCAAGTTCTTGCAGTGACAATGAGCCATCCATCACCAAAAACATATTCTGATAATCATGCATCGTTCGGTTTTCGTCCAGTTTTCTGTTAATTAATTGGACAATTTTTTCTTCTTAATTAATCGATGAGGTGCCTCTGTTTCGAAAGAAAAAAAAATCGTGCATCGTTGCAATTTACCTATGAAATTCGAATGAATCACCAGATGTGGTTTTTCACGAGGATGCATTGCAGGAAAATCGAGTCCCAGTACCAAGGATAATCTTTATATATGTTCACCGTATCCTGAGCAAATTTACATACAAATATACATAGATACTGCACACACGAGTAATATAAGCACTACTAGCATTAAACAACCCCGTATCTTCTTCACTAATTATTTATTCATCAGGAGCTCACCCTCAGGTTTTAGCGGCGCCCGCGCGCGGCCTAAACAAGGGAATTAAGCGAAAGAACGCCACCAATAACCAACCCGCCATGGAACCATGCATCTTGCTCTTGCTCAGCTCCGCCGTGGATCAGGCGGCGGCTGAGGAGGGCGCGGGCGTCATGGGCACGACCTCGGACTGGTAGCGGTGGAAGTTGGCGATGTAGATGCCGGCCTTGTTGTCCACGTCCCGCTCGCCGACGTAGTAGATGCCGTCCTGGTCGCTCGGCCTCACGCGCTGCGGCCGCCGGTACCCGGCCGCCGCCGACTCCTCGTACTCCCCGGACGAAGAGAAGCAACCGCCCATTGCCTTGCTCGGTTCTTAGCTTCTTCCCTCGGAGCTTAGCTAGCTAGCTTCGATGATCTTGGGCTCTTGGCACGGTGGGGGAGTTAGTCTGCTTCGAGTGGCAGCCGAGGGGCGCGCCATTTATAGCGGAGGCGATCGGTCGAGCTGGCCAGGAAGGCGCCATGAAGCGAGCGAGCGAGTTTGGCCCGGCCCGGCCCGAACAGCTGTGCCTGTGCGGTCGGAATCCGCACGATATATTCGCTGCAAGTTGCAGCGCGGCTCCGACGGTCAGGATTGGTTTCGACTAAACGTGCGACCACATTATATTATTTTCTTTTTATTTTAGGAAAAAAATTTCGATCTACTCATTTTTAATCATGGCAGTATAAATACCAGAAATAATGAAAATTACACTCAAATCTGTAGACCACTTAGCGACGACTACAAACACTAAATCGAGCGGAAGGCGCGCCGCCGTCATCGCCCCTTCATCGTCGAAGTCGGGCACAACTTGTTGTAGTAGACAGTCGAAAAATCGTCATGCTAAGGCACCGTAGGACCAGCGCACCAGAACAGCAACCGTCGCAGATGAAGAATAACATAGATCAGAAGGATCCAATTCGAAGACACACGAACATGGACGAACAACGATGAGATCCGAGCAAATTCACCAAAGATAGATCCGCCGGAGACACACCTCCACACGCCCACCAACGGTGCTAGATGCACAACGGGGGCTAGATGGAGAGGCCTTTATTCCATCTTCAGGGAGCCGCGCCGCCGTCTTGTCTTTCTGAGCAGGACAAAAAACCTTGCAAAACTAAAAAAAGACTAGAAACGGAGCCCTCCCGCCGACCCTTGCCAAGATCCACCTTACCCCCAGCCCTAGGGCCACCGGAGAGGAGGCGGACCTGCGGCGACGCCGATGGAAGACAGAAACCCTAGCTTTTTGTGAAGAAGGAGGAGGCAACGACTAGGGCTTCACGTAGGTCCCTAAGAACACACTATATGCAAAGTAATTTTGCAGAGGGCACGCGAAATTCAGGTGAATTTCGTAGAGATCACACCAAGTTCAAGCGAAACTTGTAGAAACACACCAAATCCAAATCCAAGCTCGGTTGGAATTTTTGGCCGGTTTGTCGGTTGACCTGGGGTCGCTGAGAAATAAAGTTAACTGGCAGAGATATTTTTGACTTGAGTGATTGACTGACTTGGACTTTGTGTCTTCCTTTCCGTTTCCCTCTGTCTAAAGTGCAATACAGCCGGAACTTCAATAGTTGATTGATCAACATTTTCCATCGGAAGGCCACGCGTAGCTCACATATGAACTGAATCTTCTGGAGCAACCTAAGGAACCACATGGCTAATAACTTCGAGTTGTAGAAGTCATGCAACTCTTTTGACAGTTGAACAGAAGTAGCAGTAGTATGAATGTATGATCATAACCCTCGGCGTCTTTTATTTTTGCATGCCAAATTAATGCTGCGACAAGAGTTTTTCTCTCTATCTTGCTTCATAGTGTTCAAGCAGTGCATCCAGAAAGATGTGATTCATAAGAGGGAGGCTTCAATAACTTTGTTGTGAAAACTCTAGGATGCACTGCTTGAACACTATGGTCTGGTTACTTATAGCTTTAGCGGCCGCTTAGCCGTCTCAGGAAGAGAGACATCATCATCTCCATCATCACCCAGCTTCGCACGATAGCTCTCCGGATGG